GGTCAGAGCTTTAGATAAAATCATGACAGCACCGGTTAGCCAATGGTGAAACAGGAGATTTGCAGTCAACACGTCTTTGTAACTGTTTAAAAAAATCCGGTATCAGCAAGGTTTGGTTTATTTCAAAAGAGAAGCTTTGAATCTAAAGAGAAATTAGAGTGATGATTGAACAGGACTTTAAAGCAATATGTCCACAAATCTAAGACAAACCTAAAGAGATGATATTTGCTTTTCAGAGGTTTTAGCCTGTGCATATAACCCTCAGCTTTAGGAGACCTGTTTTAGAGAGTGGATATTCCTAAATTCATTACAGTGATCTCTGGTAACCTCTTGTTGTTGAGGGAGACCACTGAGGAAGCTAAAATAACATTTCTTCCTACTACCATCCTCATCTACAGGCCTTCTGAGAGGGAACACTTCCTCCTGCCCCCACAGGGAATAGAGAGGAAAATTGAGAAGCTCTCTAAGTGTCTTAACCAATTGGCTAGGAACAGTTACAGAGTATTCAGCACATCAAATTGTTTTCTCTGAACCTTTTTAAAGATTATTCATTTTCTTACCACATATTTTATTAACTGCTATCATCAAACCAATGGCACAAGTAATTAAAAAGGGGGATCACCTTATTGCCGCACACTTCTCTTCTCTGAACTGTTCAAATACTAAACAGCTATTAAGATTATAAACTTTATACAACTGCAATTATTACATTTTTTAAAATACTGAACCATTTTAAGAATAATCTGTGGATTTATCCCCGGAAACAATATCTTATTATGTTCAAGTATAACTGCTTCATTTTAAAATGGAGAAATAAATTGGTTTAAAACCGGAAACCTATTGCCATGTTTCACAGATCTTGTTAAAGCTGAACACCTTTGTTTCTGAGGTAAATGAGTCTCGCTCAGACTTGGGCGTACTACTTAAGATCAAGGCTATAATGAAAACCAGGTTCCCTGCTGGGAAACACTCTTGTAGCCACTTTCACGGACATGGATTATTCCTGGTCCTAAACTAATTCGCCTTTTGAGTGGATGACTATTGAGAAATCTCTTTAGTAAAGGACTGTGTGTAACTGGCTTGTCCTCTCTTTCTCCTGGAGTATCTATTCTTCGTATTTTCTCTACCAGAAATATAAGCTTACTCTATCCAAGGTTACATCCCTCTCTTCTGTTGCAAAAGCAATTTTAATTTAAGACTACTTGTATGACTTATTTATCACATTAAATATCCCCTAGCCTTTACCTTTCTTGGTGTAAATTATCCAAATGAATATTCAAATCGTTCCTATGCTTGGAATTAGGCTGAAGACATATTGGCCTATACATTCTCCCAATACGTTATCATACTTAAGATTCAAAGAACTGTGGTGATATATGCTCTTGTGTGTCATAATGTACTATTATTCCACTTTGGACATGCTTGTTGGTGCGAGGTGTGTATTAGCAAGCCAGATTAGAGTCGTAAAACTTGGTGCAGAGATGATGACATTTACCCCCTGACTGTAAAACCTCCACAGGCTGATTGTGCTCTCACACTGTAAATTCAAAGCTTGCCGCAGGGGAACCGAGACAGGATTGTGCATGCTAATGATATGTCGGGTTTGTGTATATAAGGCAGTTTAAAAGAGGTTTTTTGTCCCTTTTTGTTTGTGTGTACATTAATCTCATTTATATCCTGCAGTATGTTCGAGCTTGCATATCCATACTTTAAAGCATCTAACACGAGATACATCTTAGTTCTGCATGAGTGTGCAGAGTGCAGTATAAGCTGGAGTTAGTAGTCCTCTTGCATCTTTCAAGAAACTGCAAAAAGTCCTTTCTTTTCACAGTGTGTTTGTGACTGCATAGCCCAACCAATCTTGTCAATCCATCAGGAGGGCTTGCAAGCAGGTTGTACAAGTGAAGGGAAAAAGGACAATGAATGACATTGGCAGGTAACTTGCTTCAGAAAGTCTCCCTATTCCAGGGACAGCAAGCTGATTGCTGATAGCAGATGTGTGTCTAATTGCTGTTGGGTTGGGCACTCTCAATGTGTCTCTGTTTCTTCTGTCTCTGTCTGCCAGAAAGCTGAGCCCCCACCAGACCCCCCCCATCACTCCCTTAATTAGAGGCCTTATCTCCGTCAATCACTGTGCTCTCCTCTGCAGCCCACTGTGGGCATTATAGCATAACTGGCCTGGCCAGGACAGCAATGTGTCACAGTTGATGGGAAAAAATGAAAAAGGTGGAAAAGACAGTTAATAGAAAAGAAGGCATGTTTGGAGCGGGAAAAATGAAGAGTTTTCAACGCTAGCAAACATACCATTGGAATATTCTCACATTATTATATCTTAACAACAAACTTCAGTCAGTTTTTGTTTTGTTTTATGTGACTGACAAGCACATTGTATTGTACAATTAGCATGTGAAAAAACAGTACATGCTTGTCAACATTTTTGCAAGTGAAACATTTTTCCTGCCTCGCTTAGTAAATGCCTCCATTACAGTAACATGTCATTTAAGGTTTGTTTGTACTTATTATACAAACTGGCATTTTTGTCCATGTTTGTTTGCAAAATGTGCAAAAATCAGTCATAATTAATAAAAGTAGCCTATTTTCACAAATAAATTGTTTGATCATATCATTTTATTGTCACCCTGAGAAGTTTCCATATTCATACTAAAGAAGAACATGTTGTATGATACTGTAACCACCAGGTTTAACAATGGGAATTATTTTAAAGATAATATGCATTATTAATTTTATGCCTCATAACATTATACATAAAGGCTAAAACATGCAGCTTTGGTGAATGGTGCACCAATAAAACTATATTAACTGAAACAAACTACAAATATTTTCTAGTGTTATTTAAATATGTAATGGTTCCTTTTTAAATGAACATTTATTATATAATCTGTTGTATCCAATCAGTTATACAGTTGAAAAGTAAGTGATGTACTCAATATGAATTCATTCACCTCACATAAATGTTTTAATCAGCTTTTAGTGATCTAAGCATTCCTTTTAAAATATTGCTATGCCTTAAAACAAAAACAATAAAAAAAAAAACTCATAAAGTTCACTGAACATAGGAGATTAAGTGGATTTTTTTTAATGCTTGAATGCATATGGGCATTTGAGGCATGCATTTGGGTCAGCTAACATTATTACTGTGGCTGTCCTTGGCTATCACATCTTACGGAAATTAACGATTAAGTGTTGACGCCAGTTCAGAACCAACTAACTGAATTATTTCAAATATATTTAAGTGATGTCAGAGTTTTGAATCTGGCTGCACTGATATTAGAAGAAAAACATCTCATTAGCAGCAATAAAATGCAATAAGGCTACTCAAGTTCCAGGGGCAAACTTTAATTGTATTCAGAGTGTGAATGAGTGAAATGTCATCCACTGGCCAGGCAG